GTGAGGCCAAAGCTTTTCTTTGGGTGAGTGTCCAACTTGCTGGAGTTGGAACTTCAGGCACAGATTGCCAGACGGGGGCTTCCATTTCGTGCATCCACCTGCACGTGTGGTCAGCCTAAGGCAACCAATTTCCACATGGGATCAGCGTGAACAGCTTACATCTGGTTTTATAATAAATCTCTCCATCCAATGCCACTTGACAAGGGGGAGTTCTGGAATAAATATCCCAGAGCTTTCCTTGGTTCTTGTCTGAAATAGCTCCAGAGTACAAATACCCACTTATGATATACTGAGTTGCATGAGTGCAAGTTGGTTAATAGAGGCAGTTTGTGATCCAGTGGCCAAAAACACAACCAGCCCCCACAGAACAAGGCTTACCTCTTTATCCTAGAGATGTGTGATCATTGTTCTGAATTAAAAACCTTACTCATCAGAAAATATTGCATTGAAGATTCCATTTCCCTTTGGAGCAATCATGCAGAGGAAGATTTGGCCAGGATAGACCAAAAAAAGATGCAGTAAACAGACGCAATAAAGGAAGGTTGAGTTCTGAGCACCTGATGGAGCTGTGGGTGTCCCTGTTCATTGCAGGGGAGTGGGACCAGATGGCCTTTAGAAGTGCTTTCCAACTGAAATTATTCTATGGTTCTGTAAAACGAGCCTTTCTCTGCTGCTGTTAACTCAGAGGTGAACTTCTTCAGAAATGCAAAAACATTGTGGATGCTGACAGCTTTTGGCTACGGCCAGATTTAAGTCTGGGGCACAGCTGGACTCATTCCATGGCACTTGTGCTGCTGCTCTCCACCACAGCTTGTTTCTCAGAGAGGCAGAGGAGAGTTTCTCTGATAACCGCAGATTTTATTCTTGTTCTTTGGACAAGCTTATCTGCCTTCTCCAAGCAGGAAAAAAGTAACTCTTTAGAAGAGATTTGGGGAATTGGTCTCTTTGGGAATGACGCAGTTTGCTACAGGGCTTTGCTGAGCCTGACCTGCCTCCCTTTGCCGGAATATTTGTTGTCTCCCCGGAGAGCTGAGTAGGGCCATTTGTCGGCTGGCTTGTTCCTGTGACTGCACACAGTTGTGCTCTGCTGAAGGCTCCTCCCCAGAGACACCAGTGAGTGCAGGGAGATATCAGAGGATAGAAATAACGGGAGGGGGAAGCAGCAAAACAGCCATCATGAAACAGCAACAACAACAACAAAGAGAAAAGGTGAAACTTGTCCAAAACCTGCTGAGACTCTTGCAAAAGCAGTGTTTTCATGTTAACAAGATGTTCAGGATGTCAGGACAACTCACACTGCTGAAGGGTTGGGTTAAGCGGGCTCAAGGGCCAAGCAGGTAACAGCAGCAGCGATACTGTGCAACACAGTCCTAACCCATAGCAAGTGCGAGCTAAGGGAGTTACTGCAAGCATAATGAAAGTGTAGCCCAGAGCAGTTTACTGCATATCTGCCACCAGCTGAGAACATGCCCAAACTCAATTACCATAGCACAGTAAATTGCCAAGCCGCAATAATTCAGTCATAAATCTTCATCCCCAGGTTAATTTGGTGTGACTTTCTCATCTAGACTCCAGCCTTCGTATGTACTGCAGGAGCTGGATCCCTGTTGTTTTGGACTTGTAACGTCATTTTTAGCAAAACAGTGCATAGAATAAGAGTTGTTCAGGTTGGAAAAGAACCTCTGAGATCACCCAGTCCAAACATCCACCTGCCACCAATGTGGCCCACTGACCACATCCCTCAGTGCCACATCTCCGTGGTTCTGGAACACTTCCAGAGGTGATGAATCCAGCACTTCCCTGGGCAGCCTGTGCCAATGACCACCCTTTTGGAGAAGAAATTTTTCCAGATGTTCAATCTGAGCCTCCCCTGGCACAACTTGAGGCCATCATCTCTTGTCTGATAGGGGACAAGAGGGAATATGTGCACTTCTCTGTGTCCCTGTCTTCAGCCAGCCAAGTTGTTAGACTTGCATTCTGCAGCCTATGTGCAAACTCACCACTTTTGTTTTGGTGTCATAACCCATCTTGTTCTTATCACATCCCATGTTTCTCTCTGTAGCCCTGCAACATTTTGCAGCTTATGGTTTGACAGAGCTTATGAGATCTGCAGAGATTCTCTCAGTTGTCAGCTCCTTTGTCACTGTTAGCATTTGCAGACAAGATTAGATTTCTTGCAAACATTAATTTTGTGGTTCCTTGTGGTCTGCAAAACCAGCCTTGTAGCTGCATTGCTAAATGAACGGCTAGTAGCAAATACTTGGTGCAGTTACAAAGCCTGAAGCTATGACCCCATTTTCTCCCAACTGAGGTTTGTTTACTTCTGCTTTTTAAGTCTCTTTAAAGTAATTTCTAGGTCTGTTAATTATTCATTATACCTTAGTTTTATTTAGTCCATCATCACCGCTCGTCCTTTGGTGAATAAAGTTGTTATTTATGAGTCAAAAGCTATTTATGAAACAGACAGTCTGGTATCCTCAGAAAGATGTGAGTTGAGAGACCTGTTTTAATTATTAAAGCCTTGATTACAGAGAATGAGTTAATTTAACAGGTACAACTGGTATTCATTTTTCTGTGTGTATGTCCTGCTGCTTCTTCCTGGAATATCGTTTACTTTGTTGGGTTAGAATGGGGACATTGTCTGAGTTGAACTAGATAGCTTTGGAAATGCTTTTTTACTTTGTAAATTGAAAGCTTCAATGCAGAAATTATCTTTTTGCCCTGTTTTGGCTCAAGACTGAGTAGACTGAGGTCTTCAGTTCATGCCAAGGAGCAAAACGCCATCAAGTGGAATTCGATGTTGGGAGCTCTACCCTGGCAGCAGGAAGGGCTGCTGGGTTTTGTGGTTGTTTTGTCGTATAATGAAAACTAATCCTGGAGAGAACCCCAGTGGTGTGGCAGCCAAGGCTGAGGCTGAGGTTCTTGCTGTTGTGCTGAGCCTGGCTGAGGTTTGTGTGCATCTATTGGACTGATTCTTGCATCAGTATCAAATATCTCAGCAGCTGGCACAAGGAAACGGTGTGGCATAAGCACAGCACAAGTGTGAATGTTCCTAAATGAACATCTCTCGCACATTCTAGCAGTCTCTAGCATAAGACAAGAGAAAGACAGGAGGAGAAAAACTCCCTATGAGCCCCTCCTTTGTCCTCAGTAGTACTGCTGGTGGTGGGAATTCTCTCCTCGGGTGGGCTCAGAGCAGTGTGAAGTCCAGAATTAGTTTTTTGGGGCATATGCATTCCTACATATAGTGCTAAAAATGTTATCTGCTACACAGATTGTCTGCAGTGCCATAGTGCTCTGACAGCTCGTGTGTGTTTTCTTCATGAGGAGACTGAGAATTTGTTCTTTCCACAGAACTGTTTATTGCTGCACACCAAACTGGAGGCAGGTTGGTGGATGTGTTTGACTCATTTGTCTGTTTTCACGACTCTTGCAGGCCAGGCAGATGAATGGTGTCCTGGTGAGAGCGGTGCCTTTCAATCACCGCCTTCAGCCTGTGCTGCTGCGGGCCGGGCTGAGCAGAGCCAAGAAGTCAATGCAGGCAGCTGCTGTGCCAGCAGCACCAGTGCGACTGTGCCCGGCTGTTTGTCATCCCTCCCTCCCCAGTCTGCCTCTGTCTAGACCAGAAGAGACATGCAGAGATTTAAGAGCCTTTTCTGCCTGGGTCTCTGTGCACCCTTTCTTTCCCACATCTGAGGCTTTGTCTAGACAAAAGTTGGGATTCCTGGACAAAAACTGAGAGAAGGGAGAAAGAAGAAATGCGACTGATCTGCAAAGCAAGTCAGAAAAAATACAAGGTCTCACCTACAGCCCATCCTTTCCTGTTGTGTCTGTATGATGTACGGTATAACCGGACTGACCCATTACAGCAAAGCAGCTTTGTCACAGCTTCTGGTAAAAGAATGAAACAAGCAGATGACATCAGAGTAGCTTCTGCAAGTCTCTCTTTAATTACAGTGCTGGATGAGGACATTTGTTGCCGTCACATGGACTGGTGATGGGTAATGTACATTCCTGACTCCCCAGGAGCCGTTCACTGGAAATGTTCACCACAGAGGTAGTGGCTTTTTGTTTTGTTTTTCTGCTCTCCTTTTTCTTTCAGCAAGATTCAACAAGCTGGTCAGGAGGATCAACAGACCCACAGCTGCAGCGGGAGCAAGCAGGGAAGCATCGGTGCAGGCAGGAGGTCCCCCAGCTGCTTTGCTACACCGCAGCATGGAGCCGTGAGCCATGGAGGAAATGCAGGAATGGGAAGACTCCATAAGCAGAACAAAGCTTCAAACACAAATACTGAATCACAAAATAGGGACTGCAGCAAAGGGTTGTAACAAGTGTTTCTGAGCAGATTTTGCCTTGCAGCAGAGAAAGAAACCTTTCTCATATTGTGTTCAATATTGTGCCCAGGTCTGCGGTAGGAGACCTCATTGCCCCTTGCACTGTAGCTGCCTTATTGCTATGAGGAGCTGCCCAGCCCAGGGCTGGATGTCACCATGCCAGGTGCTGTGCCAGTGCAGGCTGCCCTTGCTCTTGGCAATTGTTCATTCTGTGTAAAGCCATGGGTGATGAGCTCTCGTCTTCTCACAGAGCTGTGGAGGCTTGGTTCATAGGCGGGAAGTGCTATAGCTTGTTCTCTAAGAGTGGGTGCTTTTGGGAAAGGCAAACCTGCTGCAGAGGAGATGAGCAGACATGGCATTGCTGCCTTCACAAGGACAGCGGAGATACAGATATTCCCATAGAACACCTCTGAGTCCAGAGTGCTAGGAGCAGGTGGCTTAAGACCTCATTGGGATTAATGGTCATCACAGAACGGCTCAGGTTGGAGGGGAGCTCAAAGCCCACCCAGTGCCACCCCCAGCCGTGGGCAGGGCTGCCCCCCACCAGCTCAGGCTGCCCAGGGCCCCATCCCACCTGGCCTTGAGTGCCTGCAGGGATGGGGCACCCACAGCTCTGGGCAGCAGTGCCAGCGCCTCACCACCCTCTGACAAAGGATTGCTTCCTAATCCAATCTAAATCTCCCCTCTTTTATAGTCCCATGTCCTGTCACTATCAGCCCGTGTAAAAAGTCATTCTCCTCCTGCTTGTAAACTCCCTTTGAGTACTGGAAGGCTGCAATGAGGCCTCCCCATGATGATGGGTTGTGGGTAATTCTTTTCAAAAAATACGTAATCTCTATGAAAATATACCCGTCCTCCTTTACCCTAACTAGCAAATTTATGAAGAACACAGACTCCTTCTGAGAACTGCTTTCTCCCCATGGAAGAGCTGTTCATCACCAGATGAACTCAAAATTGGATGTGTTGAGCTGGATTCAGAAAGCAAGTACAGATGGTGGTTTTGTCCCATCCTGAGTTAACACTGAACAGAAAGTAAAGTTATGGCACAAGGTTGACATTTCATCCACATTTGGGTAATTTTCAGGGCCCACACCAGGCGTTAGTAAAGAGGAAATATCACCTATGGCGACTTCCAAATGCTTTAATTGTTTTGGGGTTTTTTTTGTGTACATGCATATTATTTTCTGTTTTGGTTCAGCTCCTCATCTGGGAATTCACAGAGTCAAATGGCACATTTCTGCTTTTGTAAATGTGATAGAAAAATAAGCATTGGCTCATCAATGTTTTTTTCCTCTCATTCAATGATTCTTTGAATCTTTTAATTGAGACCAGTCTGAATTGATTCCCATCACTGCATGCACATACCTGGTTGAAACTTCTCTGGCTTCTGTGCCTGAGACCTCTTGAGTTACACATTCAGTCATCTGTAATTTAAATTTATAGCTGTGACCAGATCTCGAAGAGCCATGTTCAAATGTTATAAAAGCCCATGGGCAAAATACTAATAACACTGGTTATCAGCTTCTTCCAGGAACAGAGGATTAGATGGGAAGGCTTCGGATCAAGGTGGGACTCCTGCCTTGGTTTCAGAAGACGACTGAGAGCATGTGTTACAGCCACCTGACACAGTCTCTCCTTGATGTACAGCTGGAACACATACAGCCTGTGCAGCCCATCCCATGGGAAAACACTTGGTTAACCATATAGGAAAAACAGATAATAAAAGAAGTGCTGCTTGGCAGCGGTCTTTGTCTGATCTAAAGCAGAAACTGAGTGGATATTCCACAAACTGCATAGAGAAAAGGGGGATTATATTGCTCTCTGGATTGCTTTAACATCTTCAGGAATCAGAGGGTGATTGGAATGAGGGAGCCTGCCTCTGCATATGGCTATTGTCATCATCAAGCTCTCCAGAGCCTACATCAGTTTCTAGCCAGACCTATTTCCATGTCATTTTATTCATCTTACTGTATTTTATTTACAGAGATATTACAAAATATGTTGTGAACTGAGTACGATAAGCATAGAGTGGATTTGGCAATGCCAGAGTCATCATGGTGACATTATGCTGTTATGGATTTCCATTTGTTTTAAACTATGAAACATAGCAGAGGGTAAGGGATGCTGGAAACATCCGGACCCATCCAGAGTCCCACATGGACACAGAACAGGTCTAGCTAGGGACATTCTTGGGCTTTTATTCTGGCTTTTTTTTCCAAAATACACAGTCTTGATCTCATTTGCTATTAATTTGAAGTAGGCACGACGTTACTTTACACACTCTCTGTTGAGAAACATAGGTAAACCATATCTGAGGTGATCCTTGGCTTTAAGGTGCCTTAAAGGTAGGTGGGAATAACCGGACCTAACTTGTCCTGTCCAAGTTCACATCTGAAACGGATGTGGCCCCAGATGCACAGCCTCTCCTGGCACAGCCTTTATGTCTCTACATTCATCATGCTACCACTCCTCATCTGGCTTTTACTTCTTGAGAGAGTCTGGAGATGAAATGCTGGTGGGTAGAAATTGCTGCTGGGCTGGCTGACAATCAGTAATGGTTGGTGTCTTGTTTGATCCGAGTGCATACTGTGCAGTACGAAGTATCACTTCTTTAACTTCTCTCTCCTTTTATTTTTTGGCATGGGCTTCTGTTCTTCATCCTATTTACTCATATTTACACTGATGTAGCGGTCCTGCATGAGACTTATGCTCCCCCTCCTCCTTCTGCCCATTGCTTGTAGCAGGGGTTGGATCTGTAGGTGGCAGAGCCTTCTTCACCCACCTGGGGACCTCTTAAATTTGTATGTGTTTTCCCTCAGGGCTGCAGCTGCAGTTTGATAGTGGGTAAGTCAGCTGGAGGTGAAGGCAAAGATGTTGTATGGAGTTTCTGCAAGCTCTGTCTGGCTCCTATTGCAAAGCGGAAAAGATGCTCTTGTCTTTGGTGAGAACCGTATCGGTGACTCCATGCGCGAGCCAGCAGCAGTGACTCATCACTGCCTGCATGCGGCTCTGCGAGTGTCTGTGTTTAATGCACTCAAGGTTAGATGGCCACAGGCAAGAATCAAGCGAGTGTGTCTCGATTTTTGCTTCCACTTCAAACACAGTGTGAGGGTAACTCTTAGACGTGCCCCTGGGATGGATGTCCCGGAGCCCAAAGGTCGCCCCGAGGAGTGGGAGAACCTCAGCATGAAGGTCCTCATGATGTCCCTGCCAAGAGGCTGTGGGCACGGCACTCCATGGCACTGCACTCCTCATGCCCAGCACAAGAGCTCGAGACCTCTCCATGGCTGCCTGTTTGTGCGCGTGAATGGCATTGGTTTCTTTTTCTCATTCGTAAAATTGTGGTTAATGTTTTTGCTTTTAACAGTGGAGGATCTTCATGAAAGCCTTGCGAAATTCAATATTGAAGGTGGTGTAAATAATTGGATTGACAGCACTGTTGACATATCCAAGCCACGTAAAGGCGCTGTACATTGCTGGGGGGATGTTGCAATCGCAGTGCATGTTCAAGATGTGAGTGATGAAGAACGGGAGCCAGCAGATGATGAAAACACCTGGGGGGAAAGGAAAGAGACAGATCTTGATTGTTGAAAACTGGAAAATTTCTGAGATGGAAAACAGTAAACCTTCTGTTTGTTGCTATGTCTCTGACTATATCCTGAGTAACCAAGAAATTCTTTGCTGCTGAAAATAGACAGGCTACATCAAAACCTCTGGCCTTCAGAAGCACCAGTTTCTTACTGAACTACGCTGCTTCTTGTGCTATAAGCTGTATTAGAAAGCACATGAGCTTTCTTGCCCCTGTCTTTTGGCACTGCAAACACTGGACAGCTGGACAGCTTCCTGAGCCTTCTGTACAGCCCTGTGCCACATTCCTGGCTGGCAGGATGCAGCCCTCCTACTTGAAGCCTCCTGCCTGTTTACACAAGCACATTTCTGATGTACTGCGTGGAACTCTTCCTTTAGGGACCTGGGAAAACAGTCTGTGTCGAGCATTCAGACTGGGTGCCTTAACCCTGAGTAGCTGTTGCCTGTCTTGAGGAATACAGGGTGAAGCCAATGTGCGCTCTCACCAAGTACAATAGCTAGCATCTGGGTGGCTTTCTTCTCCTTCTGCTGTGAGAGTTTCCTCCTGTTCATAGCCTTGAGAAGAGTGCTCCTTGTCTTGCCATTAGGCATGGACTGGATCTCAAAGACCTTGGCTGTGTGTAGATTTTCTTTGGCATGTCCATTCTTCTCTACTTTCCCAGGGCTGTCCAAGGTGCACCGGCTTGAGGCAACGGGCACAACCAGCTGGTGGTTGCTTGGTGCTGCTGGCTTGGCAATGGTTCTCTCAGGGGGACTGGTACTGGACACCATCTCCATTTCCATCTCTATGTGACTTTCCGCCTCCTGGATGAGAAGCAAATGCCCACACCATAAGGCAGGTAAATATACAGGGAGGAGCAATGAACGTTTCTTACAGAGTGAAGCTGGATGATGCTGAAGAACAATCAACACCTCTTCTCCCTCCCTGCTTTTTGGGAGAGCCTCGGAGAAAGGTCTAGAAGTTGTTTACATGTGAGAATACATTTGGGCAGATGGGTTTGACAGAACTGCAGGACTCTTGCTCCTTCATTGCACAAGGAGGTTAAGAAATGGGAGAGACATTGTCTCCCCTCCCCATACATTTGATTTCAGTTTTAACGGTGTAAATAAAAACAAAATCTACAAGCAAAACCCAACACAGCCAACGTGGTCCAAGACTTAAAGTAAATAATAGAGAGGAGAAGAAAATCAAAGAGACAAAAATTGTTAAAATGTCATGGCTTTTATAGCTGATCTTTAGGTGAGCTTAGTCTGGCTTTTCGAGCTCTGTGGTGTTAAACCCCCTGCTTCACTCTAAGGAACAGGAAGAATATTTAAATTTTGAGATTGAATGGTAACCTTTGTTCTTAGCTTATTTTTCTCCCACACTGCATGAATTCATTTTGAGCCCTGAGAAGGCAGAAAAGGGGAAAGCTGAACGCTCTGAAAAACTACCACTTCTCTTTAACACTCACCACTTTGCGCTTATTAACTTGGAAACTCCCATTGGACTTCACAATAACTGTGCAGAGCTTCACGTCTTCTGGATGAGTGCATTTGTCCTAAGGGGCAAGCACCGGCTCATAGGTTACACAAGCAGATAGTAATTAGGAAGGGTTGCTGGTAGGGGAGGCACGTGGAAACACAAGCACGGGGCATGAAGCAGAAATTAATTGATGTGACTAGGGAGCTAAGATGGAGAACTACTCCGGAGAGGCAGCAATGGAGGCAAGAGTCCCTTGTGGTTTTAGTGAAGGAAGGAAGCCACAGAGTTTACCTTCAGCGGCGCCTGCGTGTCCGAGTCCAGGCCATGGCTGCTGCGCTTGGTGGTGACGCGCTTCCTGCGCCTGCGGAGCACCATGTAGATCTGCACGTACACCAGCAGGGTGACGATGAAGGGGACGTAGAAGGAGACGACAGAGGAATACACGACGAAGGCGGGATTGGCAATGATGCACTCCTTCTCATCTGGAAGACAGAAGGTTTCAGGCTCACTGTCACTGCTGTCGGACCTGCACCAACATCCCCCTCCTCTGTCAGAGAGCACCCAGAGTGGAAGGAGCACTCTGCCCCGCAGAGCCAGGTAGATGCCAGCAGCCAGCTGCAGGTGGCACAACTCACCTGCCTTGTTGAGGCCAAACAGGATTGGGCTGGAGATGGCAAATGAGAGCACCCAGACCACGGCGATCATGACGGTGACCCGGCGCTTGGAGCTGTAGCGGGTGTTGTACAGCATTGGCATCGCTACGGCCGTGTACCTGCAGCGGGAGGCACAGACCTGCATTATTCTGCAAGAGCTGCCCTGGGTTTGTCGCCGCAGAGCCCTCACCTGTCAATGCTGATGGCACACAGGTTGAGGATACTGGCGGTGCACATCATGACATCGAGGGTGACGAAGATATCACAGTGGATCCGACTGAACCTCCACTCCCCAACCACCTGCAGAGAGAACGCAGTCAGTGCAGGAGATCTCCTGCTAGGAGTGCTATGGAGGGGTCTGTCAGGACAGGCATTGAGTGTATATCCCAAGCAATACTAGTTGTACTTATAGCTCTTAGTAGACAAGCTTTAAATTTAATTACACCTGGCAAAGATCACTAACAGAGAAGAAGGATCCTTCCTTTTGTGTCTTTGTTTATAAAACCGGGGAAGAAATTTAATGTGCATTAATTTTTGTGAACAAAATTAATTTAATTCAGAGTGAAAATCCTTTGACACGTTACTTGTTGTGATAAAGAGAAAGACTGAGAGATAACGCTTCTAGCTACCAGTAGACTTTTTCTCCAGTATTTTGCTGTTGAAACTGAACTTTGAAAATTAAATTTAATAGCAATTGTTAGGACTACTGTATTTGGCATGTGATGGAAAATGTATATTTCCCTCTATTAAAAATAGAGTCCTACTGCATTTGAAAATAGAATGAATAAGATAACTATTCTTCAGTTATTTCTGCTCTGATATACATAACCATAGGCAGCATGAAAAAGAAAGAAAGAATGACTGCATTGAAGCTTGAGTGACAGATGAATACTCAGTGATTAAAAAATCTCTTAAGAGACAAAGTCACATCAGTAACTTCGACTAGAGTTTGCCCAAAGACAAAGGTTCCCAGCCAGATACAAGGCTGTGCAAAGTCACGTTCCTGACCTCATGGGTTTGAGCGTATGGAAAACGCTGCGATCCCCATGGCTGGCCCAAAGAGAGCCAGGGCTCCTCGCAGCATGAGCGCTGTTGTCAGACAGAAATACAGTAGATGAGCGTAACTAATCCCAGAGGCATTAGCTACAGTCACATCCAGCCTGTGGTCATGTTAATATGCTTCAGCACACGCACAATGCCTTACATTTTTAAAGTGCCACACAAACAATAATTAACTGGAGTGATAATTAGTATTGTGGCTTCTCGACAGCCCATGTCACATCAGCGGATTTGTTTTGCTTTGCATTAATACTTAACGAGCTGATTGATTATGGCTTCTTCCACTGCTTGCCTCTGTTTTATCATTTCCTCTCCTAATGAAATGCCTGAAAATGAATTGCAAACTCGGTGTAGTTCCAGTCTTACGCTTTCTCTGTCAGTCGCCAGCATCCCAGCTCTCGGCTGCTGGAGGAATGCAGCCATCCCAGCCAAGGACAGGGGGAAGCACAGCTGCTGTTTCTCCACTCTTTCCTCCAGATATATATTTCATTCTTTTGTGCTGTTTACTGTTGCAAGAGTCCTTTGCTGCTGGGTAAACAGTATTTTGGGAGTATTTGGCTCTCTTGAAACAATGTGCCACTCAAGTATGGCTCTGTGCTGCAGAAGCATAGAGCTCTTCTTACCAAAGCGACACGCTAACGGCAGTAATGTGACAAGTAGCTCACTTGTGTCTGCTTCTCTTATATATTGTGACATAAAAGCTCTGGATTTACAACCTACTTCTACAACTGCTTGCTCTTCTTATTACTCTAGTCCTTCAGGAATAGGTTTCTGATTACTGCTCAGCGCAGTTTTAGCGTGACACCCATGACGTTTCAGGCTCATTCTTGTGCTTGGGAATGTACAGTTTGTTGGTGCAGTCTTGAAAACAAACTTGAGATCTTTCACTCTTGATCCCTGGATTTGTAGGCCAGATTTTCAACGCAATTGGGTGGTAATTCAGCCTTCTGAACAATAGCGTATTTTCAAGTAAACCTGTCATCTGCTATCATGTCTGTTTATTGAATAACTCGACTATTAGGAAATATAAAACATAGAATCATAGAATTATTAAGGTCGGAAAAGACCTCTAATAACATCTAATCCAACCTGCCACCAATACTGCCCACTGACCATGTCCCTCCATACTACATCTACCCTTTCCTCAAACACCTCCAGTGATGATGACTCCACCACTTCCCTGGGCAGCCTGCTCCAATGCCTGATCACTCTTTCTGAGAAGAAATTCTCCCTAATAACGCTTCTGGGGAAGTTCAGGAGGTCTGGAAATAGCTGACATCCAAGCTGCTAAACCTTCCCCCTTGGTACTCCTATACCCGAACCATTCAGTACTGGGAGGCAAAGCTGGGCCACCTACCTCCAGATAGACCACCCAGGGCATGACCAGAGTGGCCACCAGGAGATCCGCCACCGCCAGGCTGACGATCAGGTAATTGGTGGTGGTCTGCAGGGCTTTCTCCCTGGACACAGCCATGCAGACCAGCACGTTGCCAAACACAATGACGAAGATGAGGAGGGTGAGCAGCACGGCATAGTAGTTATACTGAGGCTTCTGGTCTGCACTGGACTCGTTGAGCGGCTTGCTCCAGTTCCTGTCCCCGGTGTTGTACCAGGATAGGTTGAGGGGATCCATGAAGGTGAACTTGCCAGGTCCCAGCTCCACCCTGCACAAAAAAAGGTGTTGGAAAAACAGTCAAATATTGACATGTAAAATAAAACCAAAATGATCATGCGTACACAGCCTTGCTTCTGAATTCCCATGTGCAGATAGCTGCTGAATGGGAGTGCTATGGACATCCAGAGCACAGCTTGAGCTGATGGTCAGGTGCCTGGGCAGAGATTTGGGAAGTTCGTTTCCATTTTGGGCTAATTCCCCCAGATTTCTGCAGTCTGGGCTATCAGTTGCAGTCATTACATAAAGAAACGGGGACGTGTCAGAGGTTGCAGTCAAAGAGCTGTTTAAAAGCAGCTGGAGGTTTTGGCTGCTTGTTTGGGGTTTCAGGTTTGAAACAGACCTTGTTTCACTTCTCAGCACTTCCTGAGATCACCCATTTCATGTTTGCCAAGCTTTACCTCCATAGAGACCACTGTGATCTGAAAATCCGGCCATGTTCTCAACAGCCCCTAAAAAAGGCCATTTAATTTTCTCACTAAAAGACAAAGCAAATTAGATTTATAAAACCACATAAGTGATCAAAATAGCAAAACATTTGCAAATATCAAATTCACTTGGGAACAATGGTTTCTTTATGTTTCACTGAGCTTTTGTGCGCTTTTTTCATTCAGAGAACAATTTGTATAATAAACCCTGGAAATTTGTTGCATATGGGTCCTTAATAGCTGATAATTCAAAAAGTGTCTGTCTGACAGTGCTATCAGCGGCACTTGATAGCTCTACAAATGTCTTCTTAAAAACTGTCAAAGTGTCAGAAATTAATTAAATGTTAGCTTATGTGACTCAGAGTGAAGGGGGAAAAATCAATGCTAAATGCAGCGACAATTTCTTCTTTTCTCCCATTGCCCTTTGATAATGCAAAGCTATCTACAGAAGGCAGAAACATGCATATAATGCAGGATGGGGAAAAAAAATAAAGCAGGAACATAGAAAAGTATCTGGAAAGTATAAAGGGAGTTGAGTGATATGGTACGTGCAGGTTCAGCTCCTCGGAAGTTCCAGCTCCCCAGCTCTGACTGCAGTTCATTTCCAACTCAATAACTGCACAAAATCACAAACCAATGGGTCAGATTCATTCTAGAACCCAGAAAAAGAATGGGCATGAAAGGGTGTTTGGTCGCCAGGAGGTTTGGTAAAGGCTGGGCTCTGGTTTGGGAAGCAGAACAGCTCGAGGGCAGCCCAGTTCCCTTCTCCCACTGCCCTTCCCACACCCGATCACGTTCCTGTCTGAGAGGCACAGTGATGTCCCATGGTAGAGCTGCAGTGCTGTTGTGCTCAGCACATCTTGCTGTTTCCGAGACCATTTTGTGCAAGGCACAGTCACATCATATTGATGAACACCAAGGTTATTTTCCAGAGCGGAGTAATAGGCTGGCCTTGTGCTTCTTGTAACTCAGTGTAATGGCTTTGGTCTGTTTCAGCTTTTAGTCTGGTGGAAAAAAGGGGAAAAGCATAAAACTGGCTTTTGGTTGCAAATACAAATGCACCGCCATCCTTCTCCTGTATTTTCATTTCAGGAGAAAGTCAGGAAGGTCTGATGCTAGTTCACAAGCAGGAAGGGAGGATCAGTGTCACTGACCAACTGGGAAATGCCTCTTGGTGCTGCCCAGAACAGGATGGTGCTTCAAGGTCCTTCACTGCTGATGGTTTCTCAGCAGAGGACAGAGCAACGTTCAGAAAACTGCCCTGAAAGGAGGGGTCTTCAGTGCTTTTATCCAAACAGCTGCATGGATGGAGGCTGGGGGATGGGATCATAAATGCAGGGGAGAGGGAGGACGGGCACCTGCAGCCTTGTGGGAATGGGGTCGGAGCTCAGCACACCGCTGCCAGGGCAGCACAGAGCGGCCGTGGGACGCAGGTGTGGGCAGAGCCCTGAAACAGAACAAATTCCATCCTGAATTAACTGCGGCAAAGCCACCTTAATTCCAGCTGGGAGCCCACACGGATTGTTAGCGTGCCTGAGCTAATCCAGCTGCGGATTTACAAGCGGTCAAGGGCAGGATGGAGCAGCAAAGTCACAGCCCTGTGCCCAGTGCCACACTGTTCAGCTCCAGTCTGGCCCGAGGCTGCGTGGGAAAGGTGTTCAGAGACAGATTTGCTCCAAAGGCATTTCTGTTTCCCAGAAATCAATGTCTAAGTGATGTTTGTACACTACAGTGCCTTCCTGAATATTGTCATTTTCTTCAGAAGATGTGGAATCGATGGGCCACAGGAAAGCTGTCAAACTGACAGCCCCTCTGTCCTGCAGATGTCTCCTGATGCTGTTTACTGGGCTCCACTGAGAATGCAATGCAGGCATCGCAATTAAGGGCGATGGTTTGTGCTGGAGGAGGGAGGTGGAGGAAGAGGAGGAGGAGGTGCTTTGTTTCCCTGTCCAGGAGCTCTGTGTGAGGGGAAGCAACTACTGGAGCACTTGTGTTGTTCCTTGCATATTAGCCCTGAGCTGCTGTGTGTGATGAATTGCTGGCCCAAAGAGCAAGGAAGGCAGCAGGCAGGGAGCAGGGAGCTGCAGGGCATGGTGTCTGCAGGCACTGAGGAGGAGGCAAAGTCAGGAATTAGGAAAACATGGTGAATTTGGACTTGGCTGAGAACCACAGAACCTGCTGCTGCTGCTGCTCGTGCTGATGAAAAATCCCTTGAATTACTCATCTTAGAATCACTGAGGTTGGAAAAGATCTGTAAGATCACCCAGTCCAACCACCCACCTACCACCAACGTTGCCCTGACCGTGTTCCTCAGTGCCACATCTCCATGGTTCTTAAACACCTGCAGGGATGGTGACACCACCACCTCCCTGGGCAGCTGTGCCACTGCCTGACCTCTCTTTTGGAGAAGAAATGTTTCCTAATATCCAACCTGAGTCTCCCCTGGTACAATTTGAGGCCATTCCCTTTCATTCTATTGCTGTTACCTGGAAGCAGAGGCCAACTCCTAACTCACCACAGCCTCCTGCCAGGGAGTTGCAGAGAGCAGTGAGGTTTCCCCTGAGCTCCTCTTCTCCACACCGAACAATCCCAGCTCCCTCAGCCGCTCCCCATCACAGCCCATTGTGCTCCAGACTCCTCAGCAGCTTTGTTGCTCTTCTCTGGATATTCTCTCGTTGCATTTCTTAGTGGTTCTCTCTCCAGCAATAAGATTATGCAAGCAGCAGGCTTAGCTACTTGTGCGCCTCCAGATATAGAGATGAGAGACAAAGATTTGGGTTTTTTGGAACTGAATTTTAACTTCAACACTGCACAACCTTCATGTCTATCTGATGTAACAGTTCTCCCCATCAACTCCTTGTAAAAGCCTGAGGAAAAGCTTCCTCCATGCTCTTTCTCTAGGGGACCCCTGGACTCTAGTCCTAGGGGACTCTAAAGAGTGGGGGCTTTTAGGGGTGTTCAAGTACTCTGTTATTCAAAGCATGACATTTTCTATGCGCAGAGTTTAGCTTCTCAGCACCACTCAGAGCTCTGCACAGCCCCATGTCTGAGCCGCTGACCCAACAGCAGCTCAGGGAGTAGAATCACAGCAGCCCCAGCTCCTTTCCCTCAGTGATGAGGAACCCCCAGCACTATTCCCACCCCAATCAGGTTTCCAAGCTCACAGCATTGGTCCCAGCCAACTCAGCGTCCCTTGGAGCTGCCAGCCCTGCTCAGAGAAGGCTTAGCAGGTGCCCAGCAGGAAAGACAGTAGGGCTCTTTAGGCTGCAGATCCGTGGTTTTCCTTCCAAATGGTAGGATGTATAAATAGCTTCCTCCAGCAACAATCTCCTTCTAGAAACCATCCTCATTGTCTTTGCCCATGTAATGAAAAAGGAGCTCTGGCTCCTGCCTGGCAGACTGCTGGTGCAGAGCCATTGGTTCCTATCACTCCTGGAGAAGACGTGGGTACAGGGCAGGCTGTACCATGTTCAGCATTTGGCAGATCAAGAATTTTGCAAGCTGGAGCTGCTCCAAACACAGCCCACTTGAATAGTGCTCAGCCTGGTGGAAAGGATGGGCAGATAAGGACTGTTTTTCACATCGTTTGTGACTCTGTGTGCTCTCAGTCCTGGACTCCCAGCCAGACCATAGAATCACAGAATGGTTTGGGTTGGAAGGGAGCTCGAAGGCCGCCTGGTGCCTCCCTGCAGTGCACAGGGACACCCACAGCTCAGCAGTGCTCACAGCCCCTCCAGCCTGACCTTGGCTGTCTGCAGGGACGGGGCACCACCGCCTCTCTGGGCAACCTGTGCCAGTGCCTCACCGCCCTCAGTGCCAAACCTTCTTCCTCATCTCCAGCCTCAGTCTCCCCTCTTGCAGTCTGAAGCCATTTCCCCTTCTCCTATCACACAGACCCCACTAAGAAGTCTGTGCCTTTCTTTCTTATCTTCAGTGTTTAAGGATGAAGGATTTCTTTCTTAAAATCAAGGAGTCTGTGCCTTTCTTTCTTATCTTCAGTGTTTAAGGATGAAGGATTTCTTTCTTAAAATCAAGGACTCTTCTTCTGTTGGGCACACATAAAAGCCAGTTGTGGAAATAACCATATTTTGCTCTGCAGGTTCTAATGAAATCTGTAATGGCCACAGTGAAGGCTGAATTGGTAGGGTGAGCATCATATGTGACTTCATTCCTGTGTTCTCACATGGAAATGGCTGCTGTCATAGGCAGGTCTTCTGATTAGAAAGACAATTCCTTCTTATTAACTATTGCACTGCTGTAGACCTAACATCCTGTTTTGTACAAAGGACCATTTTCCCTAATTCGTTAATATGTAAACTAATGCTAGATCTCTCTGAGTAGAGCCTCTGACTAATCTAATAGCTCCCCAGCCTTATGATGCTGCTAATCCATCTTTCAGATTTTGTTCTGTATTTGAGATCATCCACCAATGTCTGCAAATAACTTTTTAATCACTGGTAGAGCTAATTGTATTATTTCTCAGGAAATGAAGAGGTTGAATCCCTTCCCTCCCATCCCCACCAGTTATCTATAGAAGCAGTTAAATTTGAGCAAAATATTTATACAGGCTGCCCAGAGAGCTGTGGGTGCCCCATCC